TCTGCTGTGAATTGGGAATTTCTCCATTGCGAGACTAATAAAGGTTTTCTTATCTTATCTTCTCATACATTCTACATACATTCATTCCCCCCCCCCCCCACCCCCACAGCCTTTATTAAGCATTAACTTGGAAGTGCAGTGGCCAGCATGGTCCTCCTGTGATGCAGAGTTTTTACCTGGAGGGGAGACCATCATCAAATCAGAGGACAAACTCACTCTTCTGACACTGTCACCCTCGGGTGAAGAGTTCTTTGTGGAGTATGCATGCATGCTCAGCCAACCTCTCCATCAGCAAGCACAAAATTTTAATCGAGATCCTGAAAGGATCCCAGACAATCAACAGCAGTATGGAAGAAGCTTGACCCATTTGAAGGTAAAATTTCTGCAGACCTCCAGTGATGACATTCAAGAGTTTCATCAGAAGGAAGGGAAAACGTCATGTTGTCCTCAAATGGTCACTCATGAAGCCATTGTAAGACTTACTACCTTTGCCCAGGATATTACGTTTTCATCACTGTGGGTTTGTTTGTGGATGAGCAACCGAGCTTTTTTTTATAGTAGGTATCCTTAATACCATTACATTTTGAGGAAAAGTCATTTATCAAATTAGTAACACAATTGCCAAAGTCATTTCTTTATGTTTTCATAAAACAAGAAAAACACACAACACATTCAAAAAACAATATTGTTTGATTATACATATACATAAATGAAGAAAAAAAACAAACATATTTAGCAAGCACATTGGTATTTCTTTTTTGATATTGTGACAGTAAGTTAAAAAAGATCCACCTAATTATGCTTTTAGGTTAACAATACGTTGAATGGCATATATTTGCAATATATGTTGTTGAAATGTCAAACATTCTGATCTGGCCCACTTTGAATTTAACTTGAAAAGCCCACTTAATGTATGCGTATACAGCAGAACCTTGAAATGAAATGTTTCAAAGGAACCCTTTTTTCCTGGAAAAGTAAGATAAGATAAGAAATCCTTTATTCGTCTCGCAATGGAGAAATTCCCATTTCACAGCAGCAAAGTTATGAAAGGAAGAAGTAGAAGAACAAAATGTAGGAGCTGCTGGAAAGCCAGCCACTCTCGCGGCACCATCTTGAAGTCAAAATAACAACACATTAGACACAGACAGTCGTGCAATCTTAATCACTTTTCCTGCATACACTTTGTTTGAAGCAGTTATAGATGAAAGAGGAGAGGATCAAAGTGTCCTTTCACCAGTGGATCAGAGACGTCATGTTGAAAATGTGCACACGTCTGCTACAAGCTAAGTTTTGAAAGCAAACACGAAGCTGTCGCGTCCATTGACGAAAAGAGATTGGCTCACATCTCCTGTCCCACGTAATCCGCTTCAACTCCGAGCTGCGACTCCCAGTTCCACATCGGCGCTCTGTGCTGACGCTCCTTTCTTCTCATCGTCGGCTCCTCAAGCCTTGCATCCATACAGCCGCAGACCGTCCAACAGCACCGATCTCTCTGCTGAACAAAGCGGGGCTGTGTAAAATGCTGCCCATTACAGGCGCAAAAAAACACAAGCGCCCCAGAGCTGTCCAGAAATGTCAGTTAAATGGCAGCGACATTTCTCCCAATCAAAAACAGTGCTGGTGTACCCGTGCTGCCGAGAAGGCGCAACCACCAAGCACCGAGTCTCCTTCTTGATGAATGTCGTGGCCAAAAATGCTGAAAAGCAATCCGCATACGGTCCACACGACACAACAACAAACACAAAGTGACAAAACAAACACAAAAACAACAAAAAAAGCAAGGCTCATGAGAGCACTTGCGACGGCTGCCTACGCGGGCGCCACCTTGGGCTTCATCTTAATAATTAATAAAACCCAAGTTTTGTTTTAAAACTAATTTATACATGAAAAAATTATCACATGAACCCAACTACTTCAATGCGGCATATTGAAAATGCTATTTCCTTGGGCTCCTGTGTACCAGACACAGGCTCTTCGGATTGTCCTTGCTTTTCTCCCATTTATGTCTCCTCTGCTTAAGTCAATCAGCCTACGAGAATAGATTGTGTTCGACTTTGAATTTTCTGCCATCTTTATCTGTGTTTTTTTGTGGTATGAAATGCAACATTGACATGTATGGTGTTTTACTGGGCTTGTCTTTTCAGCCAGAGGCAAAGTACCAGTCAGTCGCACTCCTTCAGCATCACTCCTGTCATGCAGTTGCACCACATTGGTGCTACCCTCTTTCCTTAGCTCTCCGTCACTGGAGAGCTCGTGTCTCCAACCCTGGCGGTGATGGAGAAGGGCGAAGCAGACATTCAAAGGCTGACCAAACTCTGAATACCTCAGACTTAAGTAATGAAGAGAGAGCGTTTCTCCTCCCTCAAGCCCTGCCTCTCAACTGCTCATCTCCTCACTTTCACAGGTTCATTGCAAAGCTCCCTTGAATTTTGCAGATTTATCACTGTTTTCTATTACTGTACTGTTTCACATCTTTTTTTTTGGGGGGGGGGGCTTTAAAGTTGGAAATTTCAAGACCCAGACCCAAAAAATCAACTTGATCAAGACTCTCCAACAGAAATGGTGAAAGTGATGTGGCACCAAGGGGTGACGTACAGGTGTGCAGAAAATTGCCGTTAGTGGTGGACACTAACTGGACTCTTCAGTTCACGTAACTCTGCTCCGATCCTGGCAAAATGGCACTCTTGGGCCCTAGCATTCAGATTTAATATTTATCAAGGTTTTTAAAATGGAGTTCACTAATAATAGCTAACAAATACTGTATAGTTTCTGTTGTGCCATATAAATTAGACCCGCACATATTTGTTCATGAATACTACTTGGCCACAAATGGAAGTGCACACCTCTCCTATTGCAGTGATATTTTTCGGGCCTTATCATTGTTATGCATGACATTCATGTTCTTCATTCTGAGACAATGTATTATTGTTATGGAAACAGCTACTCAACATTTGGATTTCAAATTTATTTGGAGGAGAACTTCAAAAACATCGTGTCAGCTATGACAACTGCTTAAATGTCTCTTTTGTAGGATATTGGACCAAGATGTCCCAGTCATAGAAGTTTCTCCAGGGGATGGGTCTGTCATCCGATCTCACGGAGTCCTCAGCATGTACTTTATTCATTATAAGCCTGAGTGCCAATCAGTGCAGACAAAAGTCAGCCTTTCATCTTTTATCCATCTCAAATTTCCATTATTCACTTGCATGGGATCTCTACCTCGCTGCTTAAAATCAAATTCATCACTACAGGTTAAAGAGATAACATATCATATGAATGGCCTTCCACCTGACATGCCTGGGCAGTTGTACTCTGTTTGCTCTGTTTTGAGTTGTGCAAGCAGGTAAGATGTAACTGTCCAGTGAACCTGTTCACTTATGTCAACTTCTAGTACATCTCACCATCTCACCAGTACTGTTTTTTGAAGACTTCTCACCAGATACAATGAGGTAAAAAAACTGAGGATCCCTGCTACACCCAGCTGCTTGCTACAGGTGATGGTTGACTTTTACATGGATATTTTTAGGTATATACATAGCCTGAACACATTTTCTTTGCTTATAGCTAAATGTATTGTTCAAACCACCAATGGTTGATGGAATCCTGTCCAATCCTTCACCTCTGGGACAGCATGAGAATAATAGTGAGACCGTAGAAAGTTGGTGAGTTGTTTTATATGTGTGTACTGTATATGTATATGTAGTTTAATTCCTGAATACCCTTGATGATTTGTTGATTCTCCTTTAAACAAATCTCAGGTCAGATCTGGTTGCTGCAGAGCTTGCAAAGATACAGCGATGCATACGTATCCGTCAGCATTTCATTGATGATGACATACATAAATATCACCATCAGCGATGTCATCTCAGCTACATAGGTTTCAAATTTATATGAGGTAAATTGTGTTCTTTAACATTGTGTGCTCAGTTACTTTAGAAGACGGTAACAAGGAAAGAGGGGAGAAAGGATGTGCACCAAATGGTTTGACCGAGATCGCTCATGAGACAATGAGTGAAGGCTGCGTTGCAGAAGCTCTACAGAAGACATCCAAAGCCATACAGGATATTGATGCATTCATAACTGCAGCCAAGCAAACCTTAAGTGGGATTGCACAGTTTGATTGCTGAGAATGTGTGTGTATGTGTGTGACTCAAATAAACACAAGTACAATAAATGTTTGATGGCATGTGTTGATTTACCCCTCACACCAGAATTATGTTTTAGTATCTAGCAGCCATCTATGGAGCACCCATTCCCAAACTTTCTTACATGTTTCAACTGAATCACAACACAATGTGAGGCTGCCATAAATTACCAGTAATAAATCAAAACACTCTTGTCATGTAGTCTTTGTTTTTCCCGAAACACTGCTCCGAGTTATTTAAAGTGAATAACTTTTATCTCAACTGCTCATTCAAGTGAATGCAACGAAAGCATTCTTGCTAGGCGGTTTTGTTTCCGTACCAACACTAAACTGGCACTAGGTCAGATTATCTTTTGCTGTTTCGATTAGGTTAAACTGGTGCATCTGATCTCAAATCTGTGAGTTGTCCTGTTTGTGACAGCCGCCCCGTTGTTTGTTTTCTCGCGAGAAACAACGAAGTTTCCGGTGTTGTGGATGTTCCTGGAAACATGGCGGCCAGCTTCCGCGGCCGTCCTATCCGGAGTCTTCGGATGCGAGGTAAGCATGAAGAACCTGACCCAATGCTGCATTTATTGCTGGGATATCGCAGATGTAGATTTTCCGAGGCAGCTGATGACCCGGGCGTCTTCACCCTCAATGCCTACTGTGTATGTTTTTAACAGGTCGGAATGACAGCGGGGAAGAGAACGTACCGCTGGATCTGACCAGAGGTAAGCAAAGGCTTGTTCACATCCCACTGAAAGCGATTATTGTTCAATATGGATGGGTACATTTATTTCTAAACACAAGCCACGAAAAACGCAGGTCTGTCGCCGGTACTTGCCATTTCCTTGCTAATGCCACTTGGTTTGCTTTCAGTTCTGTTTAGAGTCATAACATTTCAAGCCACATCTTAATAACAGACGTTAGCGAGCTAACTAACTAGCTGACTTAGCGGTAGCTAGCTGCCACAGCTAACCACCCATGACGACACTCTGTTGTTTTGATTGGCGAGTTGGTAGGATAGCCTGTTATTAGGCTAAACATCCACGATTGTTGCTGCCACGCATTCGTCAAACCATTTGAAATCGGGGTTTGAGGTTGACAGATGAGTCGCATTTAAGCAACACATGATGGTGTGCAGGGATGAGCTGGTGCTGGCTGCACTGGATGTGAAGATTGACTCCCATCATTGCTGGTTGATCTCAATATCAATATACACATAAGATCGTTTCTGTTTCGAATAATAACAATATCATGCCACGCCTTAGATCGTTTCTGTTCTAATGTTAAATTCGCGAGGCATGCACTGGCATTGAGAAATATGATACTTTTTTATTACACTTTACTTATTTCGAACACAATGTTGATAGCATGGCTGGAATCTGGGCATGAGTTATTTCATACTTGATGTATGAAATTAACTGTACTGTATGTCTGCTGTAAAAGCGTTACTCGACACTGTTGGAATCGTCAACCTCAACATATAAATTTGACTGAAAAGCAACCTGATTAATTTAATGTAAAAACATTCTACAAATTATCAAGCATGTTGAAGATTTGTCATGAATAACTACATTTGCATGACAGTTGAAGTTTTTAGCATTTGTTTTTGTAGCATTAGAAATTGACGTCTCAGTTCTTTGTCTTATTGATATAAATATGTAGTTTACACTTGCTTTGTTTTAGTGTTTCATGTTTTACATAGAATTATTGCTGTTGTCATATTCATTGTTCAGAAACAAAACACACGGTCTGTTGGACAGTTCTTCATCTCTGGGATGTCATTTAATGATTTATTTAAACCTAGGAATTGGGTGAGGTTCTTTGACTTAATTTAGGCTCTTTAATGCATGGAAGGTCAAAATCAGAAGTACACTTCCAAATATACAGTACCGTACATAAAATCACCTTGTGTTCTGATGGTTCTATCATGTGTTTTAACATAAGTTCTATTTTTATTCATAATCATGAATGAGTGATCAAGCTGGAGTGGAGTGTGATTGTCTTTTAAGACCTTTGTTGTAAAAATCAAATATTGTATGATATTCACAGAATAGGTGGTCATTGATGTAGCTGTCCCTGTTTGGGTTCTCTCTGGGCACTTTCGCCCTACAGTCTTAGATCATAGAGTGTATATCAATTTAATGTAGGGATGTACCGATATTGGGATTGGTACTTCTAAAAAATCTCTGATACTGTATGGACCAATACAGGAGCCATGCCAGCCTTGTGGATGTCATAGCGCTAAAAAGCTAGAAATCGGGTCATTCGAATCTCAAGGCACTATTGCATTTTGCAATGGATTATGAGGGGAAATAACAGTTGTATGATAATGCTTTAGTTCACACAATGTACAATCACAGCTGTAATGATTTGTTGATCTACTTTTGTAAGCTTTGTCATGTTTGAATGGCACGTTGCTATTCTAAAAAGTGATAGATTTGAGTGAAATGTGCCGTGTTCAAGAAATAGTTTTGAACAATATTTGATTTAAAAAATTGGAGTGCTCTACTTAGTACTTCTCTTTTTTCATCACATTTTCAAGTATCAGTACTCTGTATCGTTGGGTACTCATATGTAAGCACTTGTAGTGGCAGGAAGACTTGCTCAGAGGAGTGAATACTTGTATGAATAATTGTCTGACTCTGGTGGTGAGACTGTGGTGCACTCAGCTGGAAAAGTCTGTTCTTCTGTGACTCTGAACAAGATCAGCAGCAGTGTAGAACAGATCCCACATGTTGTCTTTTTTACTGTTTAATTATATAGATATATTCTTTGCCATATTTTGATACTTCACAAGTAACTAATCAATATTACACTGAGCATAAAATAGTGAGGTGAACTGAAAACAAAAAGCACTTCTCCTATCAGGCTTGCGTTTTACCTTCTGGACTGTGTATTCACTGGATGCGTAAACTTAGTTTGACCAACTAAACCAACTTCCTTCCTGCAACATGTCAATGTCGCTTCCCTGACTGATACAATGATTTGGCCTATTACTTGTATTGTAATTCATTGTATTTCCCTTTCTTTGTTCTGCAGAACCACCAGAAAACTTCAGGGAAATCCTTCAAAATGTGGCCAAACCTCATGGCGTCAGTAATATGCGAAAACTTGGCCATCTGAACAACTTTGTCAAGGTAATATTGTTAAACTGTGCAGTTTTCATAATTTGTTGAAGCAGTGTTGACACCACTGGCAATGTGTTTTTATTAAAAACCACAGTTTGACCACACTTAGGCTGTGAAGATACTTAGCCCGTTAGTATAACTAACTAGCAACATTACAACTAATCCTTTGTGATTTAAAAAAAAAATCCTTACATCAACAAAGAAAACTGTGTACCCCTTTGCAATTCATTGTTAATAGTTTTGACCTATTATTTGATCAGTTTTCAAGTTTGTTTTCAATCAGTTAGGCATTTTGTGCTGAGCTGAAATGAAACACGGCTTTCGGGGTGACGGGTTATTGAATGATGAATCAGAAGACCTGAAGTTTGTTACTTCTTAAAATAGAGGCTTTGGCACCCATCTATCTGTTGAGACAATGTTGTTGCTTGTCTGTTCTTCTTTGTTTTAATATTCCAGAATCCAATCAAACATCTCCTCAAGCATTTCCTTAACTGTCTCTTAAGATAAACACATTAACAATAATACCAGGGCCAAGTTTAAGACCACAATGTGGAATGTCCTGTTGAATTGATAGAACAGACCAATTCATCAACTCATGCAAATATTTGTATTGTGACTGATCGTTCAGTCAGTGGCAGCGTAATGGGTTGAAGGCCAAGTGAGAATCTGACTACAACTCATAGACCTTTTTAATTCTTCTGTTTACAACAAGACAGGGACGTCCTCCATATCTCTGCAAGTGTTTCTGTTGCTTCTGATTCCTTAAAAGGGTTCTTGGATGATGAGGTTGACCTAATCCCACCCCGGAGAATGTCGCATGTTCCTTTTGGAGTCTCTTCTCCCCTCCTGCTGCTTGCTTGGGTTCTGACATCAGAGTTAGTTTAGAACAGCCTCCTTCTCATCACCTCTCGATGCCTCATCCAATTCCACTACAGCTTTCTTTTTGTAGATTGTGGTGCTGCTTCTGCTTTATGGGTTCATGTTGAGATCCAAAGATAAATGTCACTACCTGTCTTACTCTCGTACAGCTTCCCTCTTAGTTAGTGCTGCCCCATGATGGAGACTGTAGATGGGTGATATTGCTGGATGCCTCATAGTCTAGTATGCCCAGTTGCTTGAATACCATAATGAAGCAGTACTATCTGCATGATGAATTTTCATCTACGGCGTTGACTTTGTATTATAATTATTTTTTTAATTGCTTTTAAAATTGATTGATTTGAACTCCATCCATCATCCGAACCTCTTATCCTTATACGTGGGTCGTGGGCGTGCTGCAGCCATCCCATTTGTCTTTGGATAGTTTTGCAGGGCCCAAATTTAGACCTACCAATACATTTATTGAACTCTTAAAAGGGAGAAATTATAATTCTCTGGCCCATTGGTGTCGGTAATGTATGATAAAACTAAATTATATTTATAATTTCATATTTACCTGTGGCTAGAAAGCAAAACGCGGAGAGTTTCCGTCGCCGAAATGCACACTGCCGTGCTCTCATACTTCCAATAAACCAAGTGTATTTAAAACACAAGATGCTACTAGTGAGATATGTTGCCTCTGTATTTTGGAATTAGAACTTTCAAGATCCATCAGCAGTGAAGGCACTTAGTGCAAAAAAATGCTTGTTGTTTTCGTTGCTTCGTTTAGAATACAATAAAGAAGTGAACTTTTCAAGTCAATGCCGAATAAATAGTGCTACTCTTTATTTTGAACAATGCCATTGTGATAAAATATTTCTGTGTTGCAGCTGCTATGCAGTGTTAGGCATCATGAGGAAATCTTTGGGTTTACATACGAAGAAATCATTGTTTGGTAAGTGTCGTCTCTGTAATTTAACAATTCTGAATTACTGCTGCTAAAAGACATCAGTCAGACGCTCTAAAGTACTGCTTTGGATGGATTCATTACTTTATGTAGAAATGTGATGAAATTGCCCGTGTTTCTCTACAGATTCACTTCCTTATTGATATGCAAAATGTATGAGTTTTTCTACAGTTTGGATTTACCTGATTGTATTTTGTCACCTTTAGTCTGCGACTAGCTTTACTGAATGAGGCTAAGGAAGTGCGTGCTGCTGGGTTGCGGGCACTCCGCTACCTCATTCGTGACACCATTGTGCTGCAGAAAGTCCTCAAACTACAAGTGGATTATTTGATAGCCAGGTAAAAGTGCTGAATTTGATTAAATGCCCTCCCACCCATCAAGAACTTGGTTCGTTCAAACGGTGCTATTTCGTGTTTTCTCCTACTGCTCGTTTGTGCTAAAAGGTATCATGTATATTTAGGTGCATCGACATCCAGCAGAGCAACGAAGGGGAAAGGACTCAGGCGCTGAGACTAGTCCGAAAGGTAAGCACTCACTTCTTTTGGTCTTCAAGAACCATCCTGCATCTAATTAATTTGTAAGAGTGCTGTCATGCTGCTGGAGGAATGTGCCTCTTGCAGTCACGATAAATTCCTCTGCCATATTACTATCACAAAAGATCATTGGGTTCGTAGCAATGTTACTGTGTGGATGGTCTGCGCAACTCTGCAGTCAAGGCTATTTATAGCTTCTTCAGTCCTTTACTGTAAATCTTCTCCACACATACACACTTGCACACAAACACACAGAGGGAGGCTCTGTACTTAGGGAAGTGCTATCGACCTAAGGCGACAACTTGGGTTCATGATGTACACGCACCCCCCTCCAAAAATATTAAAACACTGAGGCCAATTGTCTTATTTTTGCTGTAGATTGAAAACATTTGGGTTACATCAAAAGTTGAATATGAGACAAGAAGCAACGACTGAAAGAGGCAGTGGTGAAAGCCAGGGGAATCATCACAAGTTGAATACAAAGGTTTGATGATGTCAGGGGGTCACAGGATTATTGCTATTATTGTAAGCGAACGATTTGCAAATAAATACTTCTTTTGTGAAAAAAAAAATTCTGGAAGCAAGCTGTTTTGAATGTTTTGTGCCGTATGTATTCTATAATCACTGGTGGGCTAAGAATGTTGATATTTATTGAGTTTAACCAAATATGGTACATGTTTATCAATGGAAAAACAGTTGTTTTCTTTTACCCAAATATTTCAAAATATTGCATTTTAGAGATGTAATTTCAATACAGTACCTTGATACTGCAATATTTTTGCTCAACGTGATAATAGAATCTGATACCGGCCTATTCCTACCTCTAACTCATGTGTCAGATGCAGATGCAAATTCAGAAATGTCTCATTCATCTTTTAATTTCAAACCTAAAATGTTTTTGGTGTACAACACAAATGAAAGTATTACTAAATTGTTCTAATACATTTTGAGGGGCATATATGCTGTCACAAAAACAAAACAATTTTGGTATTACTCCCTCGAATTACTAGACAGCGTCTCAAACTACCTTTCATCTTACATTTGATGTCTCTGCAGTGCTAATTTACAGATATGTTTTTAAACGATATCATGAAAAATGATTTTAGTCGAATTTATTGGATTCACCTCCATCCCTTTTTGCCCTCTGTAGATCATCACTGTCAATGCAATGCTTTTCCCCACCTCTGTTGCAAACTCGCTTATCGCTGTGGGTACTGATGGACTCCAAGAGAGGGACCGAATGGTCCGTGCAGCCATCGCGATTGTCTGCGAGCTAGGTGAGAAGATGTTCTTGTACGATGGACCCCCCTAATCAGTATAATATAATATATAAAAAGTGTCTACTGATAGTTGTTAGTAGACAAACCTGATGGAAGTCAACCCCCGCCAAAATGTTTTACAATATGTTCAATGCAGCCCTACTCGTCACTGAGATGGATACAAATGGATGGATTTTGCTGCGTAATTCATTTTCCACACAGGCAACATTAATTAGAATGCAGTGTTTAGACAATTGAGTCCACGTAGAACATATTTTCCATTATCTGAACCGCTTTATGCCCACGACGGTTGCGGACATGCTGAAGCCTATCCCAGGTGTGAAGGACCCGTCCTTATCAATGCTTTCTCTTTTTTCTTTTCCTTTTTTTGGGGGGTGGGTGTTGTTGTTCCTTGTAGCCCTGAAAAACCCAGAGGTGGTCGCCAAACGAGGGGGCCTCAGCACTATCTTGAAGAGTGTGATTGACTGTCAGCTGAGCCGCATCAATGAAGCTCTGATCACAACCATCCTGCATCTTCTCAACCACCCACGTACCCGCCAATACGTGCGAATCGATGTAGAGTTAGAGGTATGCGCACGCACGCACACACACACACACACACACACACACACACACACACACACACACACACACACACACACACACACACACTTTAAAGTACCGTATTTTCCTCACGATAACGCACGAGGTTTGTGTGCCTTTTTATTGAATTTATTGTCGTCATAACTTTTGTCTTTCATTTATTGTTTTGTAATGCCATTTGTATATATATGTTTCTTATCTGTGTTTGTGACCAGTTCTCATTGTTACAGCTGCAGCAGTTGTAAAGGGTCTATATAAATAAAGCTTTATTGTATTGTATTGTATTGTATTTCCTCTACCGTAGCACCATCTAGTGGATGCATAGCGCAACCACAGACATGATTGTATGCGCCTTATAATGCAGTGCACCGTATATATGAAAACATTTTTAAAATAGGCCATTCATTGAAGGTGCGCCTTATAATCTGAAGGACATTATAGTGCAGAAAATACGGTATGTGAATGATCCGATCCAGTGTGGTGGGTGTCAGTATTAGCAGCCGAAGCTTGGCCTCTCCTTCCCATGTTGCTTTCATTAGTTATTAACAGTGTTTTCCCCATGGCCTCATTGTTTCAACAGGCAATTTGGACTAAAGCGTCCCTCCACCAGACACACTAGCCACATGGATGTCATATGACATCAGTCAAACTGCCAGAGGATTTATATGAACTTTTCAATGAGATTCCACATAGTGTCCTAAAACAAGTAAACGATTATTAAGTTGGTTGAGGCGAAGCAAGTGTGCTTGATCTGTTACAGTTGTTTTGTGTCTGTTTGTGTTCTCTCCTCCAGCAAATCCTCGCACCTTTCACAGATTTTCACTACCGTCACAATGCAGACATGGCTGAAGGGCAACACAAGTGAGTGAGTGAGTGAGTGGGTTTAGGTGAATTGGGTGTGTGTGTCTGGGTGATGACTGTGAACATTGAAGGGGTTTCAAATGTCTGTATTATCTGGGCTGTTCACTCTTCACTGACTCACTGAAGATGTCAGTTACATTTATTCAATTCATGTTAACCCCTGAAAGTCGCTCTGAGTGATTATCTTTTATTTTAATGGTTTATTTATTTATTTATTTTTTCATTCTTTCCATTCTTCAAAAAGACTCTCTGGTCCATATAGTAGGATGTTTTGTGTGAGGAACACTGTGTTCTGTTTTTAATGGCTGTGTGTTTTCATTTTTACAGAGAGGACAAAGAGGCACGTTTCTTATCAAGTAGAATGGCCATAGTGGCAGCGTTCCGCTCTTGGTCTGGTAAGGCCTCAACTGTAATTAAAGCTTTGTTTCCCTGTTTAAAACTTGTTTTTAAAGTCATCTGTTTTTTTCTAATAGGGATTATAAACCTATGCAAGTCTGGAAATTCTGGAATCCAGTCTTTAATTGGTTTACTTTGCATACCAAATGTGGAAGTTAGGGTGAGTATTATTATTGTAAATGATAGAATTAGTTGAAAACGTAACCAAAACAAACCCGCAATACATGACATTCCTGTATATTGTACAGTGTGGGGTTTTATGATGAATAACATTTGGAGATCAAGGAAGACTAGGAAATGTTTGCTTGTGAAAATTGACACACCATTTCTGTCCATTAACTTAAATGAACTGTACATTCTTTGGCTGCCCCTCGTTTTTGGAACTATTGATTAAACCGTTATTTTTGCTGCATGTATTTTAAGCATTTCAATCTTATTTATCTCTATCAATATTTTCTTTTCAGAAAGGCTTGTTGGAGGTGTTGTATGAGATATTCAGACTCCCTGTGCCCATTGTGACCCAAGACTTCACAGATGCTCTTTTAAGTGTTGGTGAGTAATAGCTCCGAACCTTTACACTTACCATTGGTAGGTATCTAGTATGGGTGTCTGGAGACAAAGTTTTGGCCCCTAAAGATCACATATAACACATACAGTATTCTATACACAGTACACAACTAATTCTTTCCTATCAGACCCGGCAAGGTTTCAGGACACATGGAGACTCTCTGATGGGTTTGTTGCTGCTGAGGCCAAAGTTGTTCTTCCCCATAGGGCTCGCTCACGGTGAGACATAATATAAGACCTTTGAGATATAGAAAGATGAAATATTTTTAATAGCTTGACCCTTTACATTACTCATCAAGTATTTTTTCCTTTCTTCTTCTTCTTTTTAAAAAAAATCTTTTTCATTGACCAGACCTGATTTGATGGATAACTATTTAGCATTTGTGCTCTCTGCCTTCATCACCAGTGGGCTGCTAGAGGTGAGTGCCTTGGGAAGAATAAGCATGAGTCCTATCAAGGGACAATGGATTCATAGTTGTCTGTCTGCAGCTCTGGAAACCCACCTGTTTTTTTTTTTTTTTTTTTTAATGTACAGAAAACTCATGGTCATATTTGATCATGTTCAGTTTTGTGTTTTTGACAAAACTTAAGATTTATGTTTTTATCTCATAGATTCGGTACCATTCCAAAAACAGTTTACGGTTTTATTTGAGCTCACCTTATTATTGTATCCAGGCTTTTTGTTGTTGTTACACATACATTATTGCGACCAATTGAAGGACGCCAGGTGTAATATATTGTTAATCTACGACTACGCATGTCTAGTTGTTGTGGTCAGTCTCATTCTGGCTTTCGGTTATTTTTTTATACTGGATAGATTTAATTTGGTTGAAATGTTTATTGTCATTAAAGCGTTGTTTTCATAGCATTGATGATAAGTTTTTGTATATTTCAATTAAAATTACATTGCTTAATCTCATTTCAGGGTCTCGTAGAGGTGGTGACAAGCAACGACGATCCGCTTGCTGTCAGGGCCACCATCATCTTGGGCGAGCTTTTACATATGGTAAGGCAGTGTCTGTGCTTAATTCTGTAGTTGGTCAAAGCTGTTTCCCTGTACAGTGAGAAAATCCTTTTCTATAATAAGTATTAATAAATAGTAGTGTTGCTCGACCATGATCAATCAATGCCTTTCAGTGATGATCACAAGAACCGATCACCTGCAGCTCGTACTTTGCAGCCTGCAGCCAACGAGAGACATGGCCTTGTGTGCAGTGTAGTGTCCGTTCCCCCATTCCTTTACACAGCATGTTACAGACCAGTAACTGAATCAAAGTATATGTTTGTACATTTTCTGCACTGTCAATTTGAAGTAATCGACAGTTTTTTATATAAATAAAGGGAAGGAAATTTAGATAGAATGTCTGATTCATTAAATTAATTGAAAAAATAGTTGTCAGATTGTTAGTAAGCAGCAGCAGCTCTAAAATTGAAAAATGTGCAGCTAATCCATGTGTGTGCTATTGGAATTGAGTGCTCTCACTCGCAGAAGATCAGATTCAGGCAGCATAAAACAAAAAACGTGTTCGGAACACCCTGAATGAATAGCATACTGTATGTAATCTAGGCTTTTCCCTCTCTCTGTGTCTCATGTTTAGGCAAACACCATCCTTCCACACACTCACAGTCACCACCTGCACTGCCTTCCCACCCTCATTAACATGGCAGCTTCCTTTGACATCCCGCAGGAAAAACGCCTGTGAGTACATTTATGCTTAAATTCTCTCTTCTTAGAGTGCGCTGAACTCAAACCCTGATCCCATTATGGATTCGTTTTCAATTTTGATTCAGTCGGGCAAGTGCAGCTGTCAACAATCTGAAGCGTTTCCACGAGAGAAAGAAGAAAGGTGTTAAACCACACAGCCTCTATCTAGATCACATCATCCGCAACTCTGTATCCTCCCATAGCCGCAGAGAGTCACACTCACGGGTCCAAAGGGACATCTTTGTCATTAAGGTAACCTCCTTATAGATGAGCTTGGTCTACATGTCTTCCTCTTTTTATATTTGCTCTCTTAAGGAGAAGAAGTGCACTACTAGTTTAATAAAGAATTTTAAGATTAAGAACATTATGATCAGATCTACTGTTTGGCACAATGTGTTATCTTGGTGATGATTACATACTAAAGCCATCTGTTAAACTTGTTTTAATTTTGATGGTTAGTTAAATCAAGCTCATGAAAAGGAGCTGCCAATTTCACATGAATGCTAAACCAACATGAAAGTGTTATTATTAATTCTGTATTTCTCTGTGCAGGACACAGAGGAAGCATTGATGATGAACTTGAGAGAGAGTCACATTCTCAACCATAAGCAAAACTTAGAGTGGAACTGGCTGCTCATTGGCACTATCCTTAAGGTCAGACATCTACAATGTTGCATCACCATTCTCTTGCTGTGTCTCTTTGTCTTTCTGTCTTTTTCTTGCTTTATATCTCTTTCTGTCTCGCTCTCAACTCACACGCGTTCTTTTGTCATTTTGGATTAAAGTTGTATTTAAATATCTTATTTACTCATCCTAGTGGCCAAATGTAAATCTCAGGAACAACAAAGATGAACAGATGCACAGGTGCGATCCAATGACAAACTCCAAACCATCACCTTGAGATGTAAATGTATTTGGTTCTGATTATTATCCTTTTGTTATTGTAACAGGTTTGTGCGGAGGCTGCTATATTTCTATAAGCCCAGCAGTAAATTGTATGCAGGGCTGGCATTGGATCACATTAAGGCGAGACAACTCACTGTGGTTGGCTGTCAGTTTGTTGAGTTCCTCATGGACTCAGATGAGGTGAGAAAAATCCAGAAACCCGTTATTTAAATGTTCATGTCCATGTAGTTTTTTTAATGGGTTTTTTTGTGTAACTTTCTGTTGGGTCTTCCTCTTCTCCCTTTATTTACTAGGATGGACAGGGCTACTTGGAGGACCTCGTGAGGGATATGGTGTCATGGCTGTCTTCGTCTGCAGGCCTCAAGCCTGAGCGCTGCTTGCAAAGTAACGGCTTGCTCACCACACTTAGCCAACATTACTTTCTCTTCTTGGGGACACTCTCTGCACATTCTCAGGGAGTCAAACTTCTGGAGAAATGTGGCCTGTTTCAGTGGTGAGTGTTGAAGAACAATCAAACACATTTTCTGTGTATTCTCGTCAACACACATTTACACAACTTAATGTTATATTTTGCAGCCTGCTGAATCTGTGCTCTGTGAAGAACCAGGATGCTGTGCTGAAGCTTGCTGTAGCCACACTGGACTACAGCAGAGATGGTCTAGCAAGAGTGATCCTCTCCAAGATCCTTACCGCTGCTACTGATGTAGGCCAAATATAATAAACACACAAGTATATCTGTCAGGCTGTGAGAACGAGGGACAATTAGGCATGCTCTCTGGTGTTATTAATTGAAATATGACCTTTTAAACTCTGTGATGTGGGACATTGAGTTTAAGACCTAGGAAATTCGTCAAATAATTAAATGGTACCTTGACATACAAGTTTTCAAGCTTTTCAAGTTACAAGCTGTAGCTTGTCTGATCTACTTATTGTTATTATTATTATTATTATTATTATTGTTATTATTATTATCATCATCATTGCTTTTGCGAGCAAGCTTCTGACATGCCGCTTGAGTTACAAGCCTGTTCCCGAAACAAATTAAACCCTTAAGTCAAGGTACTTCTGTACATTGTAATTACTGTTTGTATTGCCCCAGATTTTTAGATGTAGCAGCTAAGCGTTTATCTTTATTGGCCTGTATTGGTAATACTGTGTTATGTCTTGTTCCTCTTCTTTCAAACAATGCTTCTTGTGAGCAGACCTGCAGACTGTATGCCACCAAACATCTGCGTGTGTTGCTGCGAGCAGGTGTGGAGTTCTTTAGCAGCTGGGGCATGGAGCTGCTGGTCACACAGCTTCATGACCATAGCAAAGCTGTGTCCATGGAGGCCCTAGATATTCTAGACGAAGCTTGTGAGGACAAGGTGATGATGGAGAGGCATCCACTTCGTACTCACAATCATTTAGACTTATTCAGACACATTCCTACATGTTTGAGCCGTAAAATGTTATCTGCCAAAAGCCCGCGGTGGCTGAAAATATATCCCACCAACGAGAGGCACTAGTCACCAGTTAGCTCGCAATTTCCTCTGCTGTCAAACAGTGTGCCCGTAAGTCAAGATAGCTCTGTAGTGAAATAACCAAAAAAATAAATAAATCATTGCCTGCTCAGTAAACCCAGTGACTCATATTTTCACCAATGTTTTTGTGTGAACAAAGACTGAAATGGCAAAGAGGCGACTTCTGTTGTGTTGACTCTATTTTATCATTCATTTTACAGGCCAATCTGCATGCGCTCATCCAGCTGAAACCAGCTTTGTCTCACCTGGGAGACAAAGGCCTTCTTCTGCTCCTCAGGTAAGGGGTTACCTAATGTCATCAAGGTGTTTCATTGTATAGTCACATTGTGTTTTCTGAAAATCATACTAGATTTTATTTCTATATGCAGGTTCCTGTCCATACCTAAAGGGTTTTCTTACCTCAATGAGAGGGGTTATGTCAGCAAACAGCTCGATAAATGGCAGAAGGTATGCACAGCAGCGTCTTGCTTTGATTTATTTTTCCATTGTACTAGTTTGAAACCAGAGCCTGTCGTTTAAAAAGTGTCTCGTTTAAATGCAAGACATGATTGCTTTTTGAATTCTAGGAATACAACCTAAAATATGTAGACCTCATAGAGGAGCAACTCAACGAAGCACTAACAACCTATCGCAAACCTGTTGATGGCGATAACTACGTGAGACGCAGCAACCAAAGGTAAGACACTGATTATACTGTTATCCATTTTAAATGCCACCTAATACTACTTCTAATTTCATTGATCATCTCCAGGTTACAAAGACCAAATGTCTATCTCCCTGTGCACTTGTATGGTCAGCTAGTCCATGATAAGACAGGCTGCCATCTGTTGGAGACTCAGGTAAGTGTTGTACTGAAACTTTGCCATGTTTTCCTTCTAATGTAGATTTATTTGGAAGCCCTCGCTTTGTCTGTCTCTGTTTCCAGAGTATAGTTCCTGACCTCAGCTATACGGTTCGCTCCCCGATGCTGGACACCTGGGAGGGCATCAAACAGCTGAAGGCTGCTCTCTGGGCTCTGGTCAGCAACACCTAATACAAGTTAATGTTTCTAAGGAATTTACACAATTTAATTTAGAAAAGTTTGTTGAAGTAGTACTGAAAGTTTCTGGTACAAAATGTGAGTGGTTTCTGGCGAGTACAAGACGTACTTTTACAGTTTAATCCATTATCTCTTCTTAAAAAAATATACTCAACGTATCAGATCATATTGTAACTTACTTGATCAATGATGGCTGAGAGCCATCGCTAATTGATTTTTATTTCATTTCCATCCAGGGCAACATTGGCTCTTCAAACTGGGGCCTGAATCTCCTCCATGAGGAGAATGTCATCCCTGACATGCTTGCATTAGCTCAGCACTGCGAGGTGTTGTCAGTACGTGGGTAAGGCCTTTTTTGTGCTATACTGCGCTGACGAAAGCAGCACACTTCTTCACATTTACTCTTCAGTTTAAATATATGAATATTTAAAACCTCATTTCCCTAAGCAAAAGAGGAAAAAAGGAAAATGAGGTGCCATTATTGGCTTTGATGAGGCTGCATATCACTTAGTATTTTAAAATAAAGTCCATTGTTAATTATTGAAAGTTAAATCGAATTCCTTTAGTATATATTAACTTTCTTCAACAGTAAAACTCACTAGAACAAATATGAATACATTTGTGTGGTGTATTAACTAACCCTCTGTGGCCTCACTCAATACTGAATCTGTTCATCTCCGCAGTACGTGTGTTTATGTGCTGGGAGTGATCTCCAAGACCAGGCAGGGGTGTGAGATGTTGAAGCAGTATGGTTGGGACGCAGTCAGACACAGTCGCAGGACGCTGTGGCCAGTCACTCCAGATGAGGTTGAAACCCAGTTGACCTCTGAACTATCGTCCGTGCCAAGCACGCTTAGCCTCAACTCTGAATCCACCAGCTCTCGTCACAACAGTGAGAGCGAGTCCCAACCAAGTATGTCGGCTGATATATGACTATTCACACTCTTCATCCTTGGAGAATATGTTACTCATCTTTTCCTTTGTGCTTTCAGACATGTACATCCTGGACGATGACAAATGCGATGTTCTGGACCAGTCAGATGAGGCTCCTTTCTATATACACTCCAAGCCAGTCAAGGACCGCAGCCCCTTTACTATCCTGGCCTCCACACGCTTTGTTCGTGCACGTTTCCTCAACTCCCTGTCCCTCCCCAGCAAGAAACTGCGCTCCACAAGTGACCCCAAGACCCCGACGGGCTCGTGCACGCCGACTGAGTTTAAGATGCGGCGTAACCGGACAGTGACAGAGCCCTCTGTCTACAGCCCAAACCAGGGTGACGTCTTCACCACTGTGTTAAATGGCAGAGCAATGCCGAAGAGTCCCACTGTCAGCCTGGAGACATCGTTTGTCGGGACCAGGGGGGGATCTGAGGAGCATCTTGTAGATGGAAAGCTGGCCAGGGGAGGAGGCTCAGGCCTGGCACTCAGCGGTCTGGCAGGGCACGCAGAGCATCCCTGTCGAGAACGGGAGCAGAGCAGCCGAGAGCGTCTGACAGGAGGAGATGGAGGTTCCTCCTCTTGCGGGGGCAATGTGGGAGGCGGAGGAAGCGCAGGAGGTACTCAGTTCAAAAGCCGCAGTCAGAGTTTTAACACTGACACCACAACCAGTGGCATCAGCTCCATGAGCTCCAGTCCATCAAGGGAAACCGTTGGAAACCCTGAGCATTCCGAACCCGAACCAGACTCTTCTGACTGTGTTAGCCTCAACACAGTTGTCTCAGCCAAGACTGTCAAGACGCTGTCCCCTCTCACGCCCCAGACGCAGACAAACCACATGTCTGCACCCAAGTCCTCCACTGTCTCTCTGGTACCACCCGGCTCCTCGCACACACTCCCCCGTCGAGCTCAATCTCTCAAATCCCCCTCAGTGACCACCATCAAGAGCCTGGCTGACTGCAGCTTCATGTACACCAGCCCAAGAGACGCGCTGGGCTATGCCACACTGAAGCGGCTGCAGCAACAAAGGATACACCCATCTTTGTCCCATAGTGAAGCACTGGCTTCACCTGCAAAAGATGTGCTCTTCACAGACACCATCACTATGAAGACTGGCAGCTTGGATTCTCGACTCACACCGCGCAGGTAAGGCCTGGCTTTGGAAACTGTGTAACAAAAGCACTCTCGATGACAGTAATCCCGCGTTTATTGCGGTTAATGGGGACCAAAATCACCCGCGATAAACGAAAATCCGCATAGTAGCGACCCCCCGTATAGGTACATGTCCATGTGTATGAGGATAAAAAATATTTCTAAGGCCAAATTTAATGGTATACGTGCATGTAGAAGTACATTTTGTTGTAATTAACATTACTTAATGCTGTATACTAATAGATTTAAACATGTATAAGTTAGGTTAGTGTATGAATAACAAAATACAGTAAACATATACATGTAATACTGTATATGTTGCTCTATGTGACTCGCTGTTGTTTTGCTGACTTTCGCTGCTTCTCGCGGACCGTTTGCGGACTTTTTGTGGACTTAAATTTTTTATTTTATTTTTTTATGAATATATTTGAAAAAATCCGCGATGCACTGAAGCCGCGATAAACGGACCGCGAAATAGCGAGGGATCACGGTACTCATTCTTTGTCCTTATTAATGATTCATGAGTGTCGTCATTTTCACAGTTTGCTCTTCATAGTAGAAAGAGCAGCGAGCCAAGCATACGCTGCCATGCTTCACTGTAGAAGCGCGATGGACACAGTATGCGTAATCAGTCTATCGCCTTTGGGATGTACTTGAACAGATATTGTTTGCCAGGCTTGCTCATCCAATATCAGTAACCCCTGACCTCACAAATGGTCTTCAGGATGAATGGACAAACATTCCCACAGATGTACTCCCGTTTACAATGTTGTGGAGGATGAACTGGAAAAAAAGGGACAAGCAGCTCCATATTTTCTTCTATATTTAATCCAATGTATTGATATCCATGTGCCCTAATACTGTTGTTCGTACACCCTCACTCTTTAAGGGGAGGGTCTGAGTTTCTGTCTACATCAGCAGTTTGTGTGTTCCGTGGACATTGTGCTGTGTTTGTCAGGATATCAGACAGGAGAAGTACCTGCCCCGAATCCAGTGTCTTAAGTCCATATCACAGACTGTCCAGAACCTTGGTGCCGCGGTGGGTGGACTTTGCCAGTGTCCTTGTTAGTTAGATCCTAGTGCAAGTCTGCTTTCGCTCTCTTGTATTGCATCTTTGCCCACAGGGACTGTCACCTGTGCTTTGACCCCTGTAGAACTTGTCAACAACAAGTAGATTGGTAGTTAGTATTAGTTGCAAACCCGATTATCTGATTTATAACCGCAGATCAACACAAGCATGTTTATGTCTAGTGAGCCAATTCTTTCAAATTTCGCTCAGTATCTCTCACTGGAAGGGGCCCCCTGGCCTCACCAGCTACACAGGCCTCAATGACATGTGGTGGCGGCAGCAAAGTAGGTAGGTAGATTGGTGGATCCCACTTTTGTTGCACAGTATGTGGACCGCCATTCTTTGTACATTGCCTGGATAGAGGCAATATATCCAGAATCAACTTGTCGAGGCTAATCAGAGATGAACTAGCCTGTTAAGAAAATACAGTGTTTGGCTACACTCTGGCCTTGTTATTTTGTCTCCCGACACCACATACTTAAGAACGATTAAAGGGATGGATGAAAATCCAATTCCATCCTTGCTTAATTCATTCTCTTTAAAAAAACTTCTCGTCATCCTTCCTCTGTCCCAAAAACTGAGGACGGACGGACAGACCGTTCCGTTCAAGGAACGGAATGCCCATCTCTGGTATTCGAACCTGCCATTTGGGCTGTCATTGGCTCTGAGGGTCTTCAGCATGTTTGTCGAATGCAGTGTTGAATCCCAATACTTGCCAGAGACATTCGTATGCTGGTGGGTTTAGACAAAGTTTTGTTCTGTGGTCTTATGTGTCGAAATAGATGAACACAGGTGTGCTTGTTCAACATTTTCATGTGCAGGCCTCTTGTTTAGAGCATGCAATTCGGGCATGGGGTACCTTAGGGTACCCTTAATGGATGCCTGGTACTCTATGCAGTTCAGTAACTAAGCACCTAGGCCAACTGATGAAAAAGCACGATCAGCACATTTGTTGTGATGAAATAAGTGTTGTATTTGATATGAAATATATTTCTCCTTGTCCATTTGAAACGCCAGTCAGCTTTATTTTTGAAGGTCTTCTCTACCGTGATTCAATACTCGAATGGGCTGCAGCTTCTCATGTGTTTTAGCCCTTTTGCCCACTGTCATTCTTGCGCCCTCCTCACCAAATCTCTGTGCTTTTATCCACCTTTTTTTTTTTTTTGCTTTTTCTCCTCATCTTTCCTTCCCAGTCTCTCCCCCCGGATCCTCTCACGTACCTCTCCTCTTGGCCTCCCTAGGTTTTTGAAGGCTCTGAGTTTTGCCTCCCTGGACAAAGAGGAGCTCCTCAGCCCAATCAACCAGAGCACCTTGCAACGCTGCTCCTCAGTGCGCTCCATGGTCTCCAGCGCCACCTATGGGTGTGGCGATGACTACATTGGTCTCGCGCTGCCTGTGGACATCAATGATATGTTCCACATCAGAGACACGGCGTACTTTCAGCAGAGGATAAGCCCCCCGTCAGAGGAGAGGAAACGCTTTCTGTTTGGCGACGATAATGGTAACGGTCTCTGACTGCCTGACACACACATGTCTTCCAAAGCAACAAAGTGTTTCAAAAAAATCATGCTCATTTCTGCATCATTAAACCCTGTAGGTGATCGTCCCGCCCTCCCATTACTGAAGCAGCAGTTTAGTATTTCCGAGCTGATCGCGAATAGAGGCGACTGCCCGAACCATACTGTGGACTCGGATGAGACGGGACTACAGGATCACACTGAGGAGAACTGCCTCTACTGTGTAGGGGCCATTGTCCTTGGGTACCCAGCACAGCCACCAATCAACAGTACACGGGCTCGGACAGGTGGTTATACGCACGCACACGCACATGAATTCGATTTGTGAGCACAACCCTGCTAATAGAGGCGACTGCCCGAACCATACTGTGGACTCGGATGAGACGGGACTACAGGATCACACTGAGGAGAACTGCCTCTACTGTGTAGGGGCCATTGTCCTTGGGTACCCAGCACAGCCACCAATCAACAGTACACGGGCTCAGACAGGTGGTTATACGCACGCACGCGCATGAATTCGATTTGTGAGCACAACCCTGCACAAATTAGTTTTGGTGATGTAAACACGAGGCAATGGTATATCATTCATCAAAAGGGTAATTATCAATGCCAGCTGCAACTGGTACGGTTTGTTTTGATTGAAAAACAAATCTGTTAAAAAAATGTACAATAAGACTCTTGCATAAAAATCTGCACACCCCAAAACAAATACTTAGTTGAAGCAGCTTTTGCTTTGCAAGGGGTCCTTTCTGTTCCCAACATCCGTCATACAGGTACAGTGTTTTAAGGTTCCCACAAACTAGTTTGCTCAATGGCATAAGAATATGCCCCCCAAAAGTGAAAAAGTAAAGTAGTGAACTACCTATGGTCACGAAAAACACATATTACGGTACCCTTTCTGTTTTGTTTTAGTGTTGGTTGTTTGTTTTTTTTTTTTTTTTTTTTTTTTGTCACAAGGAAAATTAATGAGTTGTGGTGCTAAATTACATCACGACACGGCTGGGCAAAACGCCACTGACATGCTAACGGTTAGCATCGACATCGATAGTCGCAGGTTTAGAAACAATGGATATTTGAAAAATATAATCAGTGAACCGAGCACATGTGGACAGATATCACACTCACAAACATCTATTCTTTATCCTCGATAAAACTGACTGTTACATCATCTCACTGAATCACTTGCAGTAGCAGCAGTAGTCATAGAAGAGGTACTGTTCTTCTTTGGTAATGTCTGCATGACTGTATTAAGCTGCTTCACAGTGACCAAGACGGGCACACGAGAAGTTGCATCACAATGACTTGGATTGCGGAATTTGGTCGCGATGCACAAACTTTTTCATTATTCTCACTCCATGTGTTTACCAAAGAATCATATTATAAAGCGACACCAACACATTGTGGAATTGCTTGAGTCACAGCCGTCTTCAAGTCACCCCACAGATTTTCAACAGATTTAGATCCGGCCTTTGGCTGGTCCAATACAAAACCAACATATTTCTTCCTTTGTTGATTTGCTCTGTGCAATCTTGTTCCTCCAGACTATGTGGACTTCCCGTCCTGGGGAGGCCAGAGCGGCCATCGTCTGGAGGTGATGCCTCAGTCCAAGTTCTCTGGCGTATCAGGCTGCAGTGATGCCGCCGTTTCACAAGGCTCCATCTGCGGCACGCCCACGCCGAGTGACATTGTCATTGGTGAATAGTCTGATTAAAAAGAGAAACAGAGCCTCAATTTTGTATACAAACACTTGAGCAGCGATTGACACCTGAGTCATATTTTCAATTATGTTATGTCATCCTCTGTAGGCGGCAAAGCAATATCAGAGGATGGCCCTGCCCCCCGAGTGCTGCTAAGAAAAGAGGTGCTTCGCCTCATCATCAACCTCAGCTCATCTGTTGGGACCAAAGGCCACGAAACAGGACTTCTCACGTAATTGCCATGTTTGTTTTTTTTTCCCTAGACATAAGTGTCCGAACAGTCCTAGTGAGGCAGTGTGCACTTGGAGCATATTTCCAAATGCACCCCTAATCATGTTGACCGAAGCGAATGAGTTCTGGTTGGATTCAAATCTTCAATCTTGGACAATAGTATTTTCTTCTTATTTTAAAATAGCTGACCTTAACTAGAATTCCATATCGGCTTGTGGCCAAAGGCAGAATCCTGCTCAGTTATTGCATCTTTTGGTGCTGTAAATCTTTGTTGTGGCGAAAGGAAGCCGCATGGTAAACTAGTGATACGCCACTCCTTAGTTGCCATGGTGATGACTATTTCTTCCATTTCTTCTTGGTGGTTGGCCAATACCTTTGGTGTATTACCGCCATCTTCTTTAGCATGTGGCACCCAGTATGGGTCTCATATTTTGTACATTAAATTCCACAAAAGAATGCAACTTTTTTTTTTTTTGGGTCTTCATCATGATGCATTTTGACTGGCGCCACTTATACTCTGGAGCGGTTTAAATTCAATACATTTTTTCTGATGTATCCTTGATTGTTACTTTTGTGCGCTACCTGTATTTCTCTTTAGGATAAAGGAGAAGTTTCCGTATGCATTTGATGACATCTGCCTGTACTCGGAGGTGTCTCACCTCTTAGCCCACTGTATGTTTCGCCTGACCTCCAGACGTTTCATCCAGGAGCTCTTCCAGGATGTGCAGTTCATGCCAGTAAGTCTATTTCTCTTTCCCCACCCCGTTGAAATCAACGTAGATGCGGTGCTTATCGGGGGTGGCGGGGTGTTCTTACTTGTTTTAGATGTATGAGGAGGCAGACGCAATCCTGACAAAGCTGCCAAAACCTGTTGAAAAGGAAGAGGACCCTCCCACAGAATCTTGATCATCCTCCTCCCCGCCTGTCTTGCCTACCAGCCCCTGAACACGCCACCCGACTATGAACCATGAAAGACTGACAAACAGATATGGCTTGAAGGGTGCGAGCAGGTTTGGCGTGTCTCTGTTGCTCAAAACAGAGTGCAAGTAGCCAAGGAAGAAGTGAAGGAGGAGGGGAACGGCACGTCACTCGCTGTTCTTCACGCAAGCAACAGCTAACATGAAGAACATCATTCTCTCTAAACAAAGTTTTAACGCCTAACGCTGTTTCAGATTTTTTTTTTTTTTTTAATGGGCGAAAAAGAGGAGCAGCTTAACCAAATACTGTCTTCAGAGGGTTGGCAAACTTGAGCAACACTCAATAATGCATCACAAAAACAAACTGGATCAAAAGGACAAAGGACTCACGCTGTTTCAAAAGCTTAAAAAAAAAATCTATTGACTGTGTCTCCTTCCAGAGGTTGTGTTCTGTCATGACAGAAATTGTCCCCTCAGTAAGTCCACAGGTCGCGTGTGCTTTTTTTTCCTCCCTCCAAAACAAAACACTAAAAAAAAGGGTCCTTCTGTTGTATTATTTTTTTTTTCAGGATCTGGGGCCTTTGTGCTTCACATTCACCCGCCTGTGATCTGTACAAGCCACGTGTGTTTTTGCTTCTCTTTTCCTTACTTTCCTGCAACTTGTAGCCTCCTGTCAGCACAAACAACGGGTTCCTTTCCTATTTCTTGTATCTCAGACAATCAAGCATCTGTAGTATTGTCATCATAAGCACTATTCAGTATATTGCCACCCTTACAAAATACACGAGGAGAATAGCATGTAGTTCTATGCTGTCTAGTACCATCCCCTTTGCTTAATGTCCTCCTTCAGCCATTGCATTCTTGGTGAGCTTGTGTTTTTTAGTCAGGAAGTGCAATGATCTTTGGCGAAGTGTTGCTGTATTTGCTATTTATTGTGAAGAAGGACTGAACACAAATTTAGCACCAAAACCTGCATCAACCCAGCAGCTACCCAACACTATGCCTTACCTCTGTGCTTCACTTCCTTTGCATGTGTAACACGCATGGGTCAAGTTGTCACCTTGTTTCTTGCTTGTAACACTGTTGAATTTCCTTTTTCTTCAAGGTTGCCATGACATTGTAGGTCGATAAATACCCTAGATTTTTTGTTTTTCCACAATGCAATATCACTGTCAGTGGCCGAGGTGGAAGGGGGTGAGTAAATAATCTGTACAAGGTTGCCAGGGAGACGGGATTGGATTGATCTCTGTTTCCATTGGCTTGTTTTTTTGTTTTTGTTTTTTTGCTCTAATGCTGCTACACAAATGGACTCATAGAGAGATGATTCATAGATCAGCTGAGTTCTGTCAGATCTGATCTATTTATTGTATGTCTGTACCATAGTGAGCTCAACCAGAGAAGAAAAAAAGTTATTTATATTTTCCTCAAGACTGTATTATAATTTAATAAGTTCTTTTCCTTTTTTTTTTTTTGTTGTTGCCTGAATCGTGGTTTCCCCTGTATATTGTGTACAGTATGTTTTGGGGGCATTGATGACCTAAAGAAACATACAATCCTATTAAAGGGATGCATTGTTAATTAAAAAAGATGGCAATACCCTTTTTTTTTTGTTCCCGTTTTGTGTAACTTGTGTCCATTTGAAGGCACACTAAATCACAGTGCACAAAACTGTTTTGGATCGGTCTTATTTTCGAAAATAGAAGAGACACTGAAGCAGTAATGTGAGTCTCGACAAACGGGTTGTATCTGGAGCTCGTACCTGAAGCCTATTTTATTACTCTTGTCTTGTAAGACAAAACAAAACTTTGCTAGTATGCAATATGTACAGTTTGGGTGCAACAGCACAGGGTGTCCTCAAAGTCTGAATACAGAGGCGATCGGAGTGGTCCCTTCTTTCACTGGACCTTTCTCCCCCTGATTTCTTTTTCTGAGGTATGATAAAAGAGAAAGTGTACATGATGAAGATTCAAACCACATGAGGGAACACATTATCAGTCAATGTGCTGAAATCGACAGCAGCACAGACCAATTCCATCGAGTTCACTCCAATTATGCATTGAAAATGTATGCAAGTCATTTGAAAATATTTTTGATCAACATTACAATTGAGTCAAATTGTTTAGTTTTAAGAAGTATGTGGGGGGGGTCATCTGGTAGCCAGACTGCATGAGCACCCTGTATATTTATTTTCTGCCTCACAAAACAAATACAATCAAGTCTGACAATGCATCAGAAAGCTCCTGCAGCATAGTCACGAAAGTGCAGAGTCCAACTTGTGTTTTTGAACTGCATTTTGAGAAAATGTTGGGAGTGTGTTCATTAATTCCAAACAGTGCTAATAAGTATCACTACATACAGTACACAAAATAATTACATTCCACAAAGTGCAAAATTCAAGAACATCTGTCCACTTCTTGTCCTGGCGTACATTAAAAAGTGACAGAACAACACTGTAGTGCGAGTGAGGAGATATGTGCTAAATCTCTTCACAATAGTCATATTAGTGTGAAGGTAGTCCAATTCCAACTGTGAGTAATTGTGTTCAGGCCTTCTTGTTCACTTATAATGGAGGTATGTACCGGTAGTCAGGTTAATGATTTCCTATGGAGTGAAATACACCCTCCCACTTCCTCTTTTTGCTATTACTTGTCCTTTTCCAGTTGTGTTTATTATCGAGGTATTTATTTACTCATCAGAGCTTGATAATAGTCCGTTTCATTCTTGGAGCTCAAAAATGGTCAATTTTCACTTCCTGTTTGTGTTTCACACTCGGTGGTGGGCCTTCGGCGTACACAGTAGCCTTTGTAGCATTGGCGTGTGGCTCCTCCTTTGCCTCATCGTCTTCATAGCTCATGTTATCATAGAATTGTCTCATGTTGTTTGTCAGCTCCAATTCCTGGCGGGTCTTTGCCTCTGCTTGCTGCATCTGCACCAGCATGGCTTTATTCACACCGGGCCCTGTTTAAAGCACAAAATGGTGATGATATGTTGTTTGTCCAGCATGCTCATTTCACTCAGAAAATGTTAAGGATATTTTGCTATCTGTTGAACTTTCAGTTTGATCCTAAAATGCACTCTAAAGCTTTCCAGGTGAGCATTCAAAAAGCTTAGAAAAAGGTCAAATTAAATCCGGAAATATCACCCCAAAGCTTGACATGCAAAATATTTGTTATTGTTGACAAAAACACTTACCAAAGTAACTAAGCACCACAGGGAGGAAGATGAGTCCATGAGCCATCCCCAGAAGTGTGATGACCAGATTGAGGCGGAAGAAGAAGATCTGGATAAGCTGCGCTTTGGCAAAGGCCAAAACAAGGATGCCGGGCAGGTTGGTCATCGCAACACCAGCGAACACCTTTTTGGTCAAAGCAAACCCTCTTAGACAGCCGTGGATACACACTTGGAAATGTCCTGATGTCAACTGTAGCAGACTATGCAACTTACTGCACTGCCCATGTTGGCGGTGGCCTCTTTGGCTCGCTCCACATGTGTGGGCTTTATGCTGAGAGCAAACGATCTCGTCATGTGGGACACAAATTCCACAGAAATGCCCACTGCCTGTAAATCATTGCAATCAAAAGATGACCAACATAGACAAAAAAGAGAAACATGGATTAATGTCTGTAACTTAATTGTATCAGACTGCTTTGATTGTTCGATTCATTGACTGACCGTCAAATCTGTGCACTTACTGTAACCAGGTTAATGAGGGCCACGGCATTGTAATGGATTCCCCAGAGTGTCATGAACCCAACAGTGTCCACAGTGATCATAATGATGGTGATGAGGTTGAGTAGACCGGAGCGCAGGTCCAGGCCCAGAAGCAGACAGCACACAACAAATGTTGGCAGCAGACACAGTGAGATGTTGAAGAGGCCCTCTGGTACGATCGTCAGGTACTGCTCGTAGAAAACGTTGGTCACCCTGCGAGAGAGACACGGAACCATTTTCATGTTAACGTCACTGGCGGTTTCAATGTCATTTTGAAAATGGAGCAGTGAACCAAAAGATCCAGCACATGACACTTTCAAGAAGCTTTTAGTCAATACGGTTGCTACAGTGGACAGCTTATCATGTTATCAGGTTACAGGTTGCATGAAAGGGTTAATAGACTAACATTGGAATAAATTTGAAGATAAACTCTTTAGCCACTTTTCACCCAAGAAAACATTTGTGATTAAAAACAGCTATCAGACAGTACAGTAAGATACAGCAGTGAAGTTTTTTTTTTGGGGTACTGCATGTAGCCCCGCAAATCGGTACCCGCATCAGCAAATAAATGAAACATGAGGAAAGAATGGATGATGTCAAGAACAAGAGTTCTTACGTGTAAGGGAAGACTTCAAAGTCTGGAGAGGTTCCATTTATCTTGAGCATGCCCTGAGTGATGTCATAGGCCAGCTCTCTGGCCCTCAGTAGTGCCGCAGTGAACTCCTGAGAGTTGGTCAGAGGTGTGTGGTAAGCCATGAAGCGAGAGGCTGCGCGCATAGGGAGAAAAGCCGCGTCACGTGTGCGGTGAATCTCTTTGGGAAAACGTTGTGGACTGCTATCTGATTTTTGAAATGTCTCACCAATAATTTCTCCGCTGTCGTCTTTCACCACAGCCGTATCATAGGCTCCCAGTCCTCTTTAGGATAAAATCACAGGCAAGTGAGTATGCAGTTTATCCACTGTGCTACGTTTGTGTGCGTGTGTATATGGACATTACACACCCTTTGGGGCACTGCAGGTCAGGCCTATTACCCAAGAAGTTAGGAAGAAAGCGATTGAACTGTTCCTCGGTGGGCCGCAGGACGCCATTTGAAGGCTTCGCCATACACTTTCGTCCACAGAGGAAAGAAGCTGTGATGACATAAGGCGCAACGTAGGTCATTAAAAAGTCCTCAAGACGCAATTAGAACACGAGTAGAGAATGTGCTTCAATGTTAAGTTGTGTCATCAGCTATGCTCACATTTGTCTGCAGGACAGAAGTTTCCAGCATTTGGACCAAAGCTATAAAGTCGACAACATCTGGATCCCGGGTTCAACCAGTCGATGAAATCATCTACCCACGAGTTGGCAGAGATGCCAATGTATGACCTACAGACCACATAATAACATGACAAAAATCATACATGCCACTGTTAAAATTACTGACAAATATAATGTGGCTTTATTAAGACGCTTCTTTGTGTTACAATGTAAATAGCATTGCTACTCTGCCATCAGCCTGTAAAATAGAGTGACCTACCTACACGTTGGCATCAGAATTACTCAGCATTAGTTTATTAACGTACTAACAATGAATGCTCCAGTATACAGGTATACTGCAGCCATTAATTTTGAAAATGTTATGTAACGTGTGCAGGACGTGAAAAAAAATGGTTTGGCCTTCACATTTATTTTAATTCTGTGCCTCCCCTAAAGCAACACCGCTCATTCTGTACCGTGATCCTGGGTAGTCACCTTTAAGTTCTGTCAATTTTGCTTCGTCATGGTTTTGAATTAAGTCTTCAACATATGATTGTTTCTAATCTTGGCACAGTCAGTGACAGATGACCTTTATCGGGCCAGAGCAGATCACGTAACTGACATTTTTACTATCAGATCTGATTGCGAGGATACAAAAGGTGCTGCCGTGATATCAGTAGGTTCAAGGATGTGTCAGCTAAGAGAATATAACCAGACATCTGCTTTTCAGAGCGTTGCATTGAAGAACACCGTGGTCATTTTTTTAAATTCAAAGGACTCACTGTTCGGGGTGATTGGCGGCATATTGAATCTTCTGGATCATTGAAAACTGGTCGCAGCCCACACTGGAACACACGGCGTTCATGCCCTCTTCTGTGGTAAAATTGAAGCCTCGTTTTGTTACAAAATAAACCGGGACTCCGACTTCCAAATATTTGTATAAATACTGGAAATAATCAAGCATATATGAGCCCTGCAACAGACAAAAAAAACTCATTAGTGAGGTAAGAGAGCAATCACGATGATTTTTATACTCTGTACTACATATGCAGTATGGACGAGCAAGCACCACTAGTGTGCTGCCCTGACCTTGGGCATAGCCAGCTCCTGATCCAGACCCACTGTTACGTTGAACATCAGGTACAGAGAAGCACTGAACATGAAGAGGAACACCAACATCTGGAGAGAATGAGGGAGTAGAACACCTTTTGAACGCGATAAACTTATGATGTAAAAATTATGTAAGTAACTCTTTGAGGTCGTACCACGATGAATCTCATGTAACGGTTCAGCAGTACGGGGGCGTAGTACTTCCTCATGAGGGGCAACAGGAAGCCCTCATTGGGCTGGTTGGATTTCTGGGTGGCTACGGTGACGCAGCAGAGCAGCTCACAGCGGTTGTTGTCTTGGCGGCGGGCATCCAGCGACAGCAGTGCCACAAACGCTGTCATCTGGAGAACAAAGTCCATAAGCACAGCCAAAGCGGCGTACAAAGCGAAGGTCTTCACTGCGGGCATGGTCGACAGGGCCCCTTGGAGAAAAGAAATGATACGACACGTTGTACAGAAACTGAAATAGGTTGCATACAGCTCCATGACACAATGAAACATCATACAAAATACAATATCATAACAGCCATTTAGATCATAAGAATATGTTAAAACAGATAAAACTGTGTATAGAACAGGGGCACCAAAAGTACAGACCGCGGGCCGGAACCGGCCCCCGAGGAGGTTTGATCAGGCCCGCAGGATAATTTAAAAGCGAAAAAATGCATAAAAGACACGGAATGAATATTTTTAATAAAATGCAAGTCATGGATTATCCGATAGGGGGCACACTGTTTTCTCCTTAATTTGTAAAGTGTAGGCAGGGATTAAATTTAGATTTTATATGCACATGTGGAAATGTTTTTAAAATCCCTTTCTTTATAAATCTCGTTGAATCTTCAAATGCATTCGTATATTTTTCAATACCAATTACCTGTTAAAGTTGTGTGCCTTTGTACAACCAGTGGGATCAGTTGCAATGGATAAATGTGAATGATCAAAGTAAATTGCACATTTATCGAAGGAAATCTAAGGTGTTTCATGAAATGTTTTGTAAAAGATATGTTCATTAAATGTCAACATTTTCCTAATGTTCTTGTGCTTCACTATACCAAAACAAAGGAAAGGCATCATATTTTGGTCATTTATAGCAGAGTATGGTATAATTTTAATGGTCCGGCCCACTTGACATCTACCGAGGCTGTATGCGGCCCACAATGTGAAATGAGTTTGACACCCCCGGTATAGAACATCAGACGTTCCATGGAGGAGCTCAATAATGATACAAAACCAATTCCAATCAAGTTGGAATGTTATGTTAGACGTGACCAAAAAAGAGAATACATTGATTTGCAAATCATGTTCCGCTTCTATTCAACTGAACACACTACGTATGTAATGTCCAAACTGCTAAACTTTTTTTGAAGCATATCATCTTCAACTTAGAATTTCATGTCTGCAACATGTTCCCAAAAAAAGCTGAGACAGGTGGTAAAAAAGACTCAGAAAGTTGAAGAATGCTCATCAAACACCTGTTTGAAATATCCCACGTGTTAACAGGCTAACTGGGAACCGGTGGGCCGCCACGATTGGGCATAAAAAGAGCTTCCCTGAATTGCTCAGTCATTTACAAGCAAAGATGTGACAAGGTTCACCTCTTTGTGTATAACTGCGTGAGAAAATAGCCAAAACAGTTTAAGGACAATGTTCCTCAACATACAATTACAAGGAATTTAAGGATTTTATTATCTACTGTCCAAATGTTTATTGAATATTGTTAAAAGAAAAGGTCATGTAAAATAGTGGTAAACAAGACTGTCAGAGCTTTTTTGGAACGTCTTGCAGCCATAAAATTCCAAGTTAATGATTACTTGCTAAACACACTAGTTTATTAGTTTGAGCATTAAATATATTATCTTTGTAATGTATGTTGAGCGTGATTTGTAAATCATTGTATTCTGATTGTATTGATGTTTAACAAATATCCCAATCTCATTGTAATTGGGTTTGTACAAAAGTATGCGGACTATCTGTTGGAAGCTAGGTCGAAAGGTATAAAACATCTGCCTTGCAAACATCATCGCGCTTGATTTTGGTTGACAAATTCAGAGTGGTTTCAATTGAGTGGCGTGAAACTGCATAGCATCTGAATGAAAAGATATTAGGATTACATTTAGACAACGTACGCACCACTGCCAAAAGCAACATTTATTGTATGTACTGTTAGATCAGGGGTCCCCAAACTACGGCCCGCGGGCCGGATCCGGCCCGCCTCCGCATTTGGTCCGGCCCCCTGAAAATACCACAGAGTATTTTGATTTATTTTTCATCGATGTGGATTTGTCTTTGATCATAAAGTTGGGCTTTTGCAATAAAATGTTCCTTAGTTCTGAACCGTTTGCATTATTAACTATTAATTAGTAACTATTTCATAAACACAGATACAATAAGGTGACATTTGGTGCATCTTTCTGTGCCGTTATCTGGCAACGCCAGAAAAAAAAAATCCGAAACCGGCCCCTCTCTCAGAGAACGGGATCATGGCGAAAAGGTTCGGTAAGAGAAAAATAGAATGCGGGGTATTTAACCCAAAGTGGACAAACGATGTTTTTGTTTTTGTTTCTTTCAGCGCAAAGAAACGTCTGTCAGTCTCATCTGTCAAGAGGCGGCTTCATTTTGTGTGGGTTTCTGGAAAACAATCCATTTTTACATTTCCGTACTCTTGCGGTCACCCTTTTTCTGTTCCAGACTGACACCCCCCCCCCCCCCCCCCTTCACAGAAGCAAAGCTTATGCGGCCCTCACAGGAAAAAGTTTGGGGACCGCTGTGTTAGATGAATACTTCTCTGATGGTATCAATCAAATTTGGCTGCTCGTTTTGATAGACTTACTTGATAAACACGTTTTTTTTTAACGCCCCCGGCAATAGTTGTTTTTGTTTGTGGATCTGTCAAAAGGTCCTTACCTAAAAAGAAGCAGACTGACTCAGAGAGACTGCACAGGAGCATGCTGGGAGCAACGTTTCCAAGCACGCGGCCAATCTGCTGCTCTCTTTCCTCTCCGGGCTTCCGCACATCTCGCTGCCAAATGTGAACACAAAAGTTGCATCAGTCTCATCGTGGTCAGAACCATTAGACAGCAAATTCATGGTGCAGAAAGATAAACACCTGGTACTCCAGAACAAAAATGAAGATGTTGTCAGCTCCAACAGCAAGCACAAGGAACGGTACCACTTGCAGGATGACCAACGAGGAGGGAATGCCGATCCAAGAGTAGAAGCCCATGGATGCCAGCACCGAGCATGCAACCACCAAAATCCCACCGAGACCCACTAGAAACTTTGAGTCCACCTATAGAAAGCAAAAGAGCAAATACAGTCCATGTCTTTCCCTATATCCTATCTTCTGTATTTTATCAGGAAACGTATGGCCCTTTGCAGAGATAATGACTATATGGCATGTAGGAATAGTTGTTACCGTTGTATTACTGTCAATGTTTTACATTATGTATTCTGTTGGAGTACTGTTATTTCATGTTCAATTTTCTGTCAAGCACTTTGTTACAGCTGCAGCTGTTGTGACGGCGCATGATTAATCAAGATGTATTAGATTAGGGGTTGGGAACCTCTGATTCCTCGAGAGCCATACCCTGTCTAAGATACTGCCCTACGTCAACACATCTGTAGAAACCTGGAATGATCCTGATCATTTGAACTGGGTGTGTTGGAGTAGGGAGAGTTTTAAAACAGGCAGGATATGGCTCTCGAGAAACCCGAGTTCCCGACCCCTGTATTATATTTGTACTTAACATCACCCATGTGATAGGAACATCATGAATGCACTGCATTGTATTCTCTTGGTGGAGGCTTATTGTTTGAAGCCAACTAAGTGTGAAGAGGCAGCTTTTCAAAACCGCCGGCACTTTTGAGACGGAGCCAATTTAAAGACTATACGCTTCAAGCTACAGAAATCATGTGGCACTCCCATACAATAATTCCAATCCATTTGAAAAACGGTTTATCCTTATCATAGTCTGGTCAATCACAGGGTGATTGTGACCGAGGTTGAGTGGGAATTGACAAATATCTCACAGTGGCTTCATCTTCTACCGTAGCGTCACTTCTTTGAACCAGTGTAATGCCAGCGGCCCAAAATGTGAAAATGAAGATGATTATCAAATCCCGGTGGGAGCACGATTGTCTATAGACAACGGCATGTTGAAGGCTTACCAGTATGCGTCTCCAAGAAGAATACTCCCCCAGAGCGACAGCGATGTAAACAAAGATTACAGCATAACTGATCATGAAGATGGGAATGTCCTCTGCTGTAGTCCGATTGATCTCATCCTCCAGTGACCTCTGTAGACACAAACACGGTTACAAACTACAACCACTCTTTGTGTATATGATGCTGCGGCAAATATGGAGCTCACTGGAAATAAAAAGAATAAAATAAGACATAAATGGCTCCATAATGGTTTCCACAAACTTAATTTTTGTACTGGAAATTGCTGTTATTGACGACTTTTTAACACACCTCTGCCATGTATGCAAACGTAAAGTTGGTGGTGGGGTTGCTCTGGTAGTCTTGGACAATTTTCAGAAACTCTTTCTCCCATTGCAAGGCCACGTTGTACTTGACGTTGGTTCGTGGATAGTTGTTGAGGGAGAAGGTCAAAATGAAAGCCTCCGCATTGGTGTACTCGTCACCTGGGACAGAAAACGTGTTCATAGGCGGGAATATACGCATCACTGCCGCGTCACAATTCACCATATGAGACAGCGTGTACATGCACGGCTTACAAAAGTCAATTTCTTCAAGATTTTACGAACAAAAACTGTGTCATTTTGTGCATAGTCCAAAGCAGGGGTAGGGCCCTCCGGTTCCTCCAGAGCCATATCTTGCCTGTTTTAGAGCACTCCCGACTCCAACATGACTCAATTGATCATGATCGTTTCAGGCTTCTACAGAGCTTGCTGATGAGCCGATCATTTAAATCCGGTGTGTTGGAGTCGGTCGGGAGCGATCGAAAACAGGCAGGATATGGCTCTCGAGGAACCGGAGTTCCCTACCCCCTGGTCCTAAGCCTTGCATTTTTGGAATCTGATTCAAAATTCTGATTCAAAATGTATTCGGATTTATTTTGCTGATTCAATAGTGACATTCAAATAGGAGTTTGCTTGGGGATTGTTTTTCTCATGGAGGAGGAACCCTGGTGGACCTCTTCATACCAATAAATACTGCACATTTCAATACAATGCTTCTTAAAACTGGTCACTTGGTAATGTCTTGTTTCCACAGGTTGGCGCTACCAGACACTCACCCCGGTAGCCGCCGACAGCCAGGAAGGGAAAGACCGGAGCGCCATAGTCAGCCATGCAGCTCAGTCCTAAATCAGTGATGTCTTTGAACGACAGAGGCGAACTTGAGAAGGCACAGAAGAGAAGACGAATGTCACCGAGTACACGCTTTAGGAGTTTGCGTCCACTTATTCAGGCGTGAGCGCGCTTACTTGAGGCAGTAGATGAGGTGATCTCGCCAATCCACCTCTTTGGTCACCCCCAATTCAGTCATGTTCACCTTGGCATTGATGTTGTCCAGGCTGTTTTGGAAGTATTGCGGCAGACTGTTGACCGCACAGTCGGTCAGGGCGGAGTTGTTGGGATTCAGGGGCGCAAAGCACACATCCTTCAGACTTGCTGTGCGATTTAGGTCCTCTGACCAGAACTCAATGTTCTAGAGAAATCAGAGCGGTATTAAATGGCCAACCTCGCTGGGAGACCTGGTTCTGCTTCTGTGACGTTTACCTGTATTTTTTTCTGGAGAAGCAGCATCTCAATGACGAGGTCTTTGGAAACAAGGCCGCTAAAGTTCTGCGTTCCAAAGAGCAAAGAGTCATAAATGTGACCTTTCCTGCCTGGTGCTGTCAAAATCAGCTGGTTGGTCCTGAAGAAAGGGCCAAAGTGTTTGTCATGAAAATCCTTCTCCTGACGAGCTCGGCTGTTAGGAGCTGACCAGAGCTCCACTGGGTCAGTGGTGAGCTCAATGAACATGAGGCCGGTGCCGAACCCCAGGACAACCACAGCCGACACCAGCAGCACCTTAGATGGGGAGGACGGATGAACAAGTCAGACGACTGCGTGTGACAACCAGCATCTTAATACATGAAGATATTGATCTTATGTGGACCTGCTAAAATACGGTTGCACAAACAACCTAACTAGAATGCTTCTATCGATTATTCCATCGATTAATCGAATGATTGGATACAATTTTACTTTGTTTTATAAAACCATTTTTCTCCAATTACTGTTCATTAATGAATTATAGTGGTTTATTTGGTATTGTTTAGTGGCTAAACAACAACTACTACACAACAATTCAACACATGACACAACAAATGACACGAAAGCAGTACTTCTCAAATTGGAGGGCGGGTCCCCCTGA